GTAATTGATATGTACGAGAATATTATTGTCAATAGAGGTATTTTGCAATAACAAATAACAATAAATAGAACTACATGAACTACCCCAACATATTATCACTACGCATGGTGATTATTTTTCTTTTTGAACTGTTAGGTTAATTTTATACTTTTTACATCTTATAACAGTTGAATCATGTCAAGATATGCAGAAGACCCTGCATGGCAACATGGGGTTAGACTTGATCCCAACAAAAAAGACAAAATTATTTGTAATTACTGTCAAAGAGTGATAAAGTGTGGGGTACATAGGTTCAAGCAACACTTGGCTGGGGTTAAGGGAGAAGTTTCTGCATGCACTAGTGTCCCTAGTAATGTAAAAAAACAAATGACGACAATTCTTAATGCTAACAAAGGTTAAAAAATTGCCAAACATAGGATGAATGAGGAGATAGCTAGTTTATATACGTCATCAAGCAGGAATGATACATAAGAGCAATATAATAATGACCTAGAAGAGCAATATAATAATGAGCTGGACATGGCCACAATATTGACTTTACATGAACAATATTAGAGGGAACATGGGTTTAGAATGCCCGGTGGGTCTAGCTCAGACATGCATGGTGGGTCTAGCTCAGTTATGCATGGCGGGCTCAGCTCGAGCATGTATGGCGGGCCCAGCTCAAATAGGTATGGAGGGGTTGGTGGTAATATGTATCAAGGAGAATTAGATGTTGAAGAAATTGATTCTAAGTTACCTAGAAGTACCAGTATTGCAGGTTATGGTCGTAAAGACCCATTTCTCTCAAAGCCTAAGTCACAACAGATGACCCTAAAAGGCATGGTTAAAGGTACAAGAAACATGTTGGGGAGATATGCTGGTAAATGGTTCTACGATAAAGGGATTCCCTTTGATGCAGCCAATAGCCCATATTTTCCACCTGTGGTCAGTGCAATCCAAAGAGTCGGGCGCAGGGTAAAACCCCCAACGGCATATGAGCTCAGTGGGCCACTATTAGATGAAGAGGTAGAGGAAGTTAAAAAGTGGATTGAAGAATATAAATAGAGTTGGCCAAGGACAGGCATTATTCTCATGAGTGATGGTTGGTAGAATAAAATTAGCAAAAAGGAGTTTTTAAACTTCTTGGCCTATTCCCCAAAAGGTACAACTTTTTTATCTAGCAAAGACGTATCAAGGACGAAGAAAGATGCAAACTTCTATGTACAACTATATGATCAGATAATGGAGGAGGTGGGAGATAAGCATGTAGTCTAGTTTATTATGGACAATGCGCGTGCATGTATTTCTGCGGGCAGCAAGTTGATGGAATAGAGGAAGCATCTAATATGGGCCCCGTGTGCTGCACACAACATCGATCTTATGTTAGAGGAGCTCGGTGAGATCAAAATTGTGAAGGAGACTCTAGAGGAAGCAAGATTGGTGTCGAGGTTTATATACAACCACTCTAAAATTTTATTTCTGTTTAGAGAACAC